TTAATTTATTAATGAAAAAAAAGTAATTTTGTAAATTTGAGAATTTTTTTTTTTTTTTTTTTGGTTGGCTCAGGTTGCCTCAAGTACAGGTCTGGTAAGGCATGTGGAGCTGGAGATCGAACCGAGATCCCCTGCGCCTGACTGGGTTTGCCCAAGCAGATGCTTAAGCAATTGAGCTAACCCACAAGCCCCCAATTTTGTAAATTTGAGTTCACTACCAAGTGACAGTTTCTGATGCTTTTTTTTTTTTAATCTTTTTATTTATTTGGTACAGGGTCTTACTGTGCAGCTGGGACTCATAGTGATCCTCCTATCTTAGCCTTCCCAGTGCTGGGATTACAGGTGTGCGCCACCATGCCTAGTTTTGGTGGCTGGCACAGCAACAGGGGCATGTGGTACTAGGATCAAACCTGGGCCCTTGCACTTCTCAGGCAGGCACTTAGATCGCTGAGCTATCTCTTCTTCCTGAGTTTCTAATACTTTGAAAAATTTTGTGATAAAGTGATGGTGTTATTAACAGGAGTTTTTCAGTGTACAGAAGGCAATAATACCATTTCTACTTTCCAAATGACCAGTATATAATTCACTTGAGGTATAAGATACATGTGGGGGTGCTGGGGAGATGGCTCAGTGGAATAAACGCTTCCCTGGCAAGCGCAATGGCCTGAGTTCAATCCCCGGTTCCGCCAAAAAAAAAAAAAAAAAGAGAGATACATGTGGGTTTGTTTTTTGAGGTAAGGCCTCACAGTGTAGGTCTGGCTTGCCTTGAACCTTTGGTAACCTTGCCTCAGCCTTCTGAGTTGCTGGGATTACTAACACTGATTTGGTGGTGTGAGACAGAGGCTTACCATGTACTCAAAGCCAGACTGGAACTCATTATGTACCCCATATTGTCCTTAGACTAGAAATCCTTCTTGATCTCAGCATCCAGAATACTGGGATCACAGACATGTACCACTGTGCTCGGCTCTAGCCTCACTTGTTCTACCTAATGAAGTTGTATAGTTACTTATGTTACAGTTTTGTGTACCATACAACTTATTTTCCATTTTGCTACATAGATTTCATCATATTCATCACTCATGACTATATAAAGTCCTTGAGTTGGTAGATCACAGTTTAAGTGTGAGGGGTTTTTTTGGTAATGTATTTAGTACAAGGTCTACAGGGTCTCACTACCTAGATCGGACTGGTAGTGATTCTCCTGTTTTCAGGTGTGCACCACCATGCCCAGTCTCAGTCACCCTCTCAACTTACCCTGGGGGCAGGGGTGAAGCCAGCATGGCACACCAGGATCGAACTCTGCCGCTGTGCTTTGCCTAAGCAGTCACTTTAGTCGCTGAGCTATCTGGGCGGCCTCATCACAGTTTAAGATTAATCATGAGTATTTTTTTAAATTATAAGTGATGTGATACCTGATTTTAAAATAGAATTTGATTTTTTCCCCCTTATGATATGGTCACAGAAGTAGAATAAATGGGCCAGAGTTTATATAAACATGTAACATTATAATAGGTTTTGAAATGTTTAGACAGATAGCTTTCTAAAACGAAGAAGGGCTGGGGAGATGGCTTAGTAGAATTAAGTGCTTCCCTGGCAAGTGCAAAGGTCTGAGTTCAATCCCTGGTTCCGCAAAAAAGATAA